CGACGTCTCCTCTGATGATGAGCGCTAGTGTCGCTGTAGCAACATGCTATGTGTTTACATCCATTGCCGCCATGTTTGTTATGACTTATCGCAAGAACAAACGTATTCACGCGTGACTTTAATAGCATTTCTTACTTAATGGAAACACCGCAGTTGCTAAACTGTTTTTTTTTACATTAACAGAATATCAACAAAGCTTTGCGCACATTTGCAATGGAAACACAGCTTATGTCAGCTACAACCTCTGAATTGAGACACAGCCACAATTATCGTCTAATGTTCAAATATGCTAATAAGGTAATGACATCATTTAGCTACTTTTCAGATAGGCAATATTGACTTTTCTTACTGAGGAGTGGACAACAGTGGTCAGCAGCTCGAAATCTCCCTCCAAGCTCAGCTCAAAACATGACAACCCTGTTAATGACCAGGGAAGTGAAGATTGTGAAGATGTAAGCAAATAAAGTTTACGACGTATGGTTTCGAAGTTAAAGGACGAAGTACAAAGACCTGAAATTTTGTGCCCACTACAGATGGTCATGTCTGATTATTTTCTTCTCCGTACACACAGGCCACAGTTATCTTTCGGTCCTTGCGGTTTGCAGTACAACTCTTGCTAAGTATGACTCAAAAGCTCTTGGAAGAAAAATAAAAACAATAATGTAGAACACGTGTCAAATTCAAGGCCTGCAGGCTAAAAGGTGACTTCCAGATAGAAATGATAAAATGAAAAATATTTTTTTTAAAAAAAAAATCTTGTCTCAATTTGAACTTGTCTCAGTAAAATGCTGAATCAGCAGTACTTCCCTGCATCAGGCTGACATTGAACTCCCTAAGACATGTTCTGTCACAGTGCAGGACTTTGCTATACGAGTGCACACTTACATTGCCTTTGACCACGTAGTTTGAGTCTGTAGTGATATCTCTGGCCAGACCAAAATCACAGATTTTTGCCACTCTTCCTTGAGTCAGCAGGATGTTTCTGGCAGCAAGGTCTCTGTGAATACACTAAAAAAAAGGAAAAAAAAACTAAAGAAGTGTTTAAAAAATCAGAGGATACACAAACAGCTGACTAAACTGAATTAATAATGGATTACGTGTTTTTCCTAATGCACTTTGGTGTTGAATTTTCTATGCCAGACTCTGTAACCTACAACCAACCACTGACACTAATACACAAGCTCTCCGGTCACAGTATCCGTGCCTCCACAACAAATCAATCTTTCAGCAACTTGCTCCAACACGCATTTTAAATTAATCTTACCCCAAGGGGTTTTCTTGAAGTTTGTGCTCGAAATTTCGAGTTAATGATGTCGAGATTTATAGTGAGTGAGGTGAAGATTTTAGGTGTTGTCATAGATTTACTTTTTATTTTACTGTATATAGATTGTTTTATTTTTATGAACAAATTAAATAAATGTAATAAAAAACATGCTGAAATGTAACTGAGTGTATCTCAGCATTTACAAACTCTACTTGAATAATCTTGGTAACACTTGGGATATTTCTTACAAATTTAAGTATCACAGCAGAGGTATTGCTTCAGAGATAGTGAGGATGGAAACTGAAAAAAAAATCCCCGTCACCAGAAGTTTTTTGTTTCATAAAAGAGGATATGAGCCTTTTAGAAATATAACGAATAAGGCTAAAAACTCTTGGAAACCAAAAAAATCCACATATGGATGTTGCCTGTGCAAAGATTCATGCTGTTAAAATAAACTAGAGCAAAGTTCCAGAGGTTTTAGTAAAGAAATAACTCAGCGTTTTGTCATTCCGCACAAGATGAACCATGTTGGAGCCATCAATAAATGTAAAAAAAAATCTTAGATTTTTAATAGCAAAAAATATTTTGTTTCTTAGACCATTCAAAAGACCTGCCTTTGAATGTTAGCCTTTTTTAGTTACCTACACATTTATTTTTGACCCTATTCATTCAAAACAATGAAAAATAATGTTAGATTACAATTGGAGTAGATTTACTCAAAATCAAGTTAAAACAACTTTTAAAAGCTTTTACAAGCTGTGGCTTACATTTCTGAAAAAAGTCAAAAGGATCATAGCTTTTTATGGAGCCCATTCGGTGACATGAAATATTTTTTTTTGTCCCGTGGCCACGAGATAACGCGTGCGCACGTGATAATTAACGTGTGCCAACAAGATAATAACATGTGCCTACGCGATAATTAAGGGGCTAATTTTGAACAGCCTTGTTTTGATACACAGACAATATTGTACTCAGATTATATATAGACTGCATTGRTTTGTCTTTAACTTTTTAAATGTGCAATAAAAAATAAAGCTTTTTCGGCAAATAAACAACTCCAGTTGTCACCTGGGACTTATAGCTGCAGCACATAAAACTAAGAAACAGCTACTTCATGCCTGACATAAGGTGCTGACTTAGCAAAATCATTCATTCTATTAAAATCAAAATAAATTAGTTTAATTCAGACTTATCCATGTAAACAACAAACTCTGCATGAAAATGATAACAATAATTAGCTATGTGGTGGCCACGATAAATTTATCGCGTGTGCACGCATTGTTATCTCGTGGCCACGAGAAGAAAAATAAATTCCATGTCACCAGATGAGCTCCGTACATTTTTACTGATTTGCTCTGATGAATTTGTGTTGATGTCATGTTGTCTAAAGTTACTTCCTGATTCAACTGCTTGTGATTGAAATGGTTTAAGCTTTTAGCCAAGACTCTGAGGTTTCTAAGGATACCAAACCTATGTTCAAATGATAGATCTTAAATTAACCAAAAGTTAAAAGAAATAGAAAATGGGAGGCATGGGGCTCAAGAGGGCTCATAGCTGTGGAAAATGGTTGTGCCCTCTCCCCAACACACACACACATACACACACACACACACACACAC